TAACAAGACTGGGAGTACTCAATGAATGATAAGACACTAAGAAGCTGAGAGGAACAGAAGGATTTTGGGGAGCTTGTCCATAGATGCTTTCAGGTGGCTGGATAGGTTAACAGTGCAGTTAAGAAGGCATATAGGATGCTTACCTTTATCAGTTGAGGCATAGATTATAACAGCATGAAGGTTATAAGGCTTTAAGACCATATGGCATAGGAGCAGAAATTAGGCCATTCGGCCCATTGAGTCTGCTCTGCCATTCAATCATGGCTGATAAGTTCCTCAACCCCACTCTCCTGCTTTCTTCCTGTAAGCATTGATAATCGAGAACCTATCTATCTCAGTCTTAAATGTACTCAATGACCTGGCTTCCACATGCTTCTGTGGCAGTGAATTCCATAGATTCACTACTCTCTGGCTGAAGAAGTTTCTCCTTATCCGCATTCTGAAAGGTCTTCCCTTTAATCTAAGGCTGTGCCCTCGGGTCCTAGTCTCTCCTATCAAAGGAAGCATCTTCCCAACATCCACTCTGTCCAGTCCATTCAGTATTCTGTAAGTTTCAATTAGATCCCCCCTCATCCTTCTAAACTCCAAAGAGTATAGTCCCAGCGTCCTCAAACGTTCCTCAGATGTTAAGTTTTTCATTCCTGTGACCATTCTCGTGAACATCCTCTGAACCCGCTCCAGGGCCACTACATCCTTCCTGAGATATGGGGCCCAAAACTGCACACAATACTCCAAATGTGGCCTGACCAGAGCTTTTTAAAGCCTCAGTAGCACATCCCTGCTTTTATATTCAACTCCTCTCAAAATAAATGCCAACACTGCATTTGCCTTCCTGACTACTGACTGAACCTGCAAGTGTACCTTGAGAAAATCCTGGACTAGAACTCCCAAATTTCTTTGCACTTCAGACTTCTGAATTTTCTCCCCATTTAGAAAATAGTCCATACCTCTATTCTTCTTACCAAAGTGCATGACCTCACACTTTCCCACATTATACTCCATCTGCCACTTCTTTGCCCACTCTCCTAACCTGTCCAAATCCTTCTGCAGCTTCCCCACCTCAATACTACCTGTCCCTCTACCTCTCTTTGTATCGTCTGCAAACTTAGCCAGAATGCCCTCAGTTCCTTCATCTAGATCAATAATGTATAAAGTGAAAAGTTATGGTCCCAACACTGACCCTTGCGGAACACCGCTTGTCACCGGCTGCCATCCTGAGAAAGACCCTTTTGTCCCCACTCTCTGCTTTCTGCCAGACAGCCAATCTTCTATCCATGCTAGCACCTTGCCTCTAACACCACAGGCCCTTATCTTACTCAGCAGCCTCCTGTGTGGCACCTTGTCAAAGGCGTTCTTGAAGTCCAGGTAGATAACATCCATTGGTTCTCCTTGGTCTACCCTGCTCGTTAATTTCTCAAAGAATTCTACCAGGTTTGTCAGGCATGACCTCCCCTTGATGAAGCCATGCTGACTTTGCCCTATTTTACCATACACTTCCAAATATTTAGAAATCTAATCCTTCACAATGGACTCCAAAATCTTACCCACAACCGAGGTTAGGCTAACCGGCCTGTAAATTTCTGTCTTTTACCTTACTCCCTTTTTAAACAGGGGTGTCACATTAGCAACTTTCCAGTCCTCTGGGACTCTCCCTGACTCCAGCGATTCCTTAAAGATCATCACTAACGCTTCTACTATCTCTTCAGCTATCTCCTTTAGAACTCCATATGGTCCAGGTTATTTATCCACCTTCACGTCAATCAGTTTTACTGGCACTTTTTCCTTGGTGATGGCCACCATACTCAGCTCTGCCCCCTGACTCTCTTGAACTTTTGGGATATCACTCATGTCTTCCACCATGAAGACTGACGTGAAGTAATTATTCAGTTCCTCAGCCATTTCCTTGTTCCCCACTACTATCTCTCCAGTGTCATTTTCCAGTGGTCCAATGTCCATCTTTGCCTCTCTTTTGCCCTTTATATATCTAAAGAAACTCTTCGAGTCTTCATTTATATTACTGGCTAGCTTACCCCCATCTTCAATCTTCTCCCTCGTTATTTTGTTTTTGTTGCCCTCTGTTGGTCTTTGTAAACTTCCCGATCCTCTGGTTTCCCACTGCCCTTCGCCACATTATATGCTTTCTCTTTTGCTTTTATGCTATCCCTGACTTCCTTAGTCAGCCATGCATCCTCCCTGTACCACGCTTCTTTTTCGTAGGGATGAATTTTTGCTGTGTCTCCTGAATTACTCGCAGAAGCTCCTGCCCTTGCTGTTCCACTTTCTTTCCGGCTAGGTTCCTCTTCCAGTCAATTCTAGCCAGCTCCTCACTCATACCGCTGTAGTCGCCTCTATTTAGCTGTAATACTCTTATCTCTGATTCTATCTTCTCCCTCTCAAATTGCAGAGTAAATTCTATCATATTATGATCGCTGCCTCCTAAGGGTTCCTTTACCTTAAGCTCCCTTATGAAGTCTGTCTCATTGCACAACACTCAATCCAGTATTGCCTGTTGCCTTGTGAGCTCCACCAGGAGCTGCTCCAAAAAGCCATCTCGTAGACATTCCATAAGATCCTTTTCTTGTAATCCATTACCAACATGATTTTCCCAGTCCACCTGCATATTGAAATCCCCCCATGATCACTGTGACTTTGCCTTTCTTACACACCTTTTCTATCTCCTGGTGTATCTTGCACCCAAGCTTCTGACTACTGTTTGGAGGCCTGTACACAACTCCAACTATGGTCTTTTCACTTTTGCGGTTCCTCAATTCTACCCACACAGATTCTACACCATCAGACCTTACTTTGTTTCCTACTATTGATTTAATTTCATTTCTTACTAATAAGGCAACACCACAGCCTCGGCCCACCTGCCTATCTTTTCAATAAGACGTATATCCTTGGATATTCTGTTCCCAATCCTGATCCCCTTGCAGCCACGTCTCCGTGATGCTCACCACATCATACCTGCCAATTTTGATCTGCGCTACAAGCTCATTTACCTTATTCCTTATACTGCGTGCATTCAAATATAACAGCTTCAGTCCTGTATTAACCATCCCTCTTCTCATTGTCATTTGTTTATCCAGTGTGCTTGAAGTTTGATGCTAGCCCTTTCCAAACACTCTGTCCTATTTGTGTCTGTGCTGGACACTTTAATAACCTCTCCTGAGTTCTCCTTCCCTGTCATTTCTTTCATATTTTTCCACGTAGTTGAATCCATCACTACTAACCTGCTGCTTTGTTTCCCACTGGGGCAAGTTTCACCATTCCCTTCCCCCCACCACTTTCTAGCTTAAAGTCCTATTGACCAGCCTATTTTCCCTTTTCACTAGAACATTGGTCCCAGCTCGATTCAGGTGGAGACCGTCCCAACAGTACAGATCCCTCCTGTTCCAATACTGATGCCAGTGCTCCATGAAAAGGAACCCCTTTTTCCTGCACCACTCTTTTAGCCACGTGTTTACTTCTCTTATTCTCATGACCCTGTGCCAATTTGCATGTGGCTTGGGCAGTAATCCGGAGATTATAACCCTCGAGGACCTGTTTAATTTGGTTCCGAGCTCCTGATAATCTCTGAACAGGTCCTCTTTCCTAGACTTGCCTATGTTGTTTGTTCGTGCGTGGACCACAACAACTGGATCCTCCCCCTCCCACTCCAATATCCTTTCGAGCCGGTCAGATATCCCTTACCCTACCACCAGGCAGGCAACACACCATGTGAGACTCTTGATCCTGCTAACAAAGGATGCTACCTATGCCCCTCATTATAGAATCCCCTACAACTACCACTTGTCTTTTTGCTCCCCCCTCTTGAATGGCCTCCTGTACCACGGTGGAGTGGCCAGCTGGCATATCTCTCCCTGCAGTCTTTTTCCTCTTCCTCTCAGGGAGCAAGTACCTCATACCTGTTGGACAAGGTCAAGAGCTGAGGCTCCTCTGTTGCTGACTGAAGGATCCCTCTACCTGCCTCGTTTGCAATCACCCCCCTGCTGTCCCTGGCCACTGACCAAATTTGAATTACTTAATTTACCAGGTGTGACTACCTCCTTAAATACAGCGTCCAGGTACTTCTCCCACTCCGGGTGTGCCACAGTGTTTGAAGCTCAGATTCCAGCTCATCAACTCTGAGCCAAAGTTCTTCGAGCAACCAACACTTGCTGCAGATGTGGTCACTGCAGTTCGCAGTTATGTTGGAGCTCTCCAGGAATCTGGCTAAGCCACAGCTGGATTACCGTGTGGTTCTGGTTAGCACATTATAGGAAGAATGTGACTGCACTGGAGGGGTTGCAGGGAAGATTCACCAGGAGGCTGCCTGGGATGGAGCATTTTAATTACAAAGTAACGCTGGATCAGCTCAGGTTGTTTTCTTTGGAGCAGAGGAGGCTGAAAGGGGGGGACCTGGATCATAAGATTATGAGGGGGTAATAGAAAACAACTGTTCCCCTCAGTTGAAGGGTCAAGAACAAGGGGGCATAATTTTAAAGTGCAAAGTAGGAGTTTTACAGGAGATTTGAAGAAATATTTTACCATACAGAGGATGGTGGGGGACTGGAACACACTGCCTGGGAAGATAGTTGAGGTGAGAAACTTCACCACCTTTAAAAAGTACTTGGATGAGCACTTGAAATGTCATAACATTCAAGGTATGGGCCTAATGTGGGAAAGGGGATCTTGTATAGATTGTAGTAGATTTTTGGCAGTGCAGACTGATGGGCATCTTCTATTCTGTATGACTCTCTGACAGATTCACAGGACAGGTACAGCAAGAGTTTGACACAGGATAAAGCAAGATAGGACATTGACACAGCAGAACAGAATGGTGTTTCCATTTCTCTGTAAAACAGAAGCTTGTTTTTTTCTTGGTAGTAAACCTACTCGTAACAAAGTATTACCCTGCAGCACATAAGTGTCCGAGAGAGTAGTTGTCTACATTAGTGTCTGACTGTGAGTGAGATTGAGCCAGTGCCCTTGATAAAATCAAACAGTGTCAAACCCACTCCTCAAACAATCCAATTATACCTTTATTCAATTTCTCTTTCGCAGAGTACTTTAAATTAAAACAATGAAATCATTTGTATATCAAATGCATTAAAACAAGTGTATTGGACAGCACATTCTCCCTGGTGCAGTATCTTAAATGCAACAAGGTTGGGCTTTGTGTAACAAGTTGAATTTCTTCTACGCAAAGAATTCTCAATAATATCCCTGAAACAGGAGGTTCATTAAATCCCTGTCATCAAGCTCTGTTATTCCAGATAACCCGCTCAATACCATCGAGTCCAGCTGATTGTGATCAACATGTTCTGACTGAACACTGACTTCTACAAGGGAAACAGAAACGAATCTGAAGGTCTATCAAACATTAGATGACATCAAGGACCCAAGGAATACGCACAGCAGACTGAATAACAACTGTATGGGGACATATATAAAAAATCAGATGTTAAGGGATAGGATCAATGCAGGCGGTCCAGTTTAGCTTGCAATGATTTAAAATTTCCAATCGTTGTCTGTAAGGCGCTGGTTGGGCTCATAGACTGAAGTTCAACAAGGAATCGGCCAACTGCATCCAAGCAACTATTGGTGAATCGTCGTCTGTAACAAAGGAAAACTTTGTAAGATCCAGTTGCCACACACAGAGTAACCTTCTCAACATGTATGCAATACTTAAAATACTCTGCATTTCACAAGAGAGGAACAAAGCTCACCTCTCATGGGCTGGGACTTTATTGGGTTCCTGCACGTAGGCACTGAGAAGGACATGAATGCACTCCAACAAATGAAGAGGCTTTTTGACCCGCTGCCAGTAAGGATCCTAAACCAACAGCATATTAAAAAGTCAGAAATAGCAGCTGCAACCACAACTCAGGTAATAGCCACAGACTCACAAAACCATAACCTGTAGCATTGAAAACAGGCATTTGCACATTCACACATACAAGTGAACACACACAAGCTAACATCATGAGTAACACAATCATTGACACATAAATATTTCAAGATAGGTTAAGCACAAATATCCATTTATGTTCAGATCCCATGGACACTGCTGATACGGAGGTGGTGGCATAGTGGTAATGTCGCAGAATAAGTAATCTAGAACCAGGCTAACATTCTAGGGAGATAGCAAGAACGTTATCTGGGTCTCTGGATTAACAGTCCAGTGATAATACCACTAGGCTATCACCTCCCCATAGAATGGAATGCTGACATTTAGATTAAGAGGACTGGAGAACAAGGATGCAGCTGTATAAAACCCTGGTTAGACCCCAGTTGGAGAACTATGGGCAGATCTGGACAGCACATCCGAGGAAGGGTATATTGGCCTTGGAGAGAGTACAAAGTAGGGGGTTTGGACTTCAGGGTTAAGTTAAGAGGAGAGATTATACAAAATTTGCCTGTTTTCTCTAGAATTTAGAAGGTTAAGGGGTAACCTCATCGAAATCTTCAAAATATTGACAGGAAAAAAAGTAGATAAATATAAACTATTTCCACGTGTTGGGGATTCTAGAACTAGGTGGCATTGTCTGAAAATCAGGGTCAGATCATTCTGAAGAGATGTTAGGAAGCACTTCCACATAAGAACAGAAGAAACAGGAGCAGGAATGGGTCTTTAGGCCTGTTTAGCCTGCTCTGACATTCAATAAGATCATGGCTGATCTTTTCATAGAGTCAGCTCCACTTACCCTTCTGCTCCCCCTTATTTTAAGTCTATGCCCCCTAGATCCAGTCTCACCCACCAATGGAAACAATGTCCCTGCTTCTATTTTATTAATTCCCTTCATAATTTTATATGTTTCTACGTGATTCATTCTTCTAAATTCCAATGTGTATAGTCCCAGTCTACTCAATTTCTCCTCATGAGCCAACCCTACCAGCTCCGGATTCAGCCCAGTGAACCTCCTCTACATCCCAACCAGTGCCAGTACATCCTTTCTCAAGTAAGGAGGCCAAAACTGTCCACATACAGAAGGTGGTAAAGGTTTGGAGCTCCATCCTACAGACAGCAATCGATGCTAGATTAGTTGTTAGTATTAAATCTGAGATAATTGTTTTAAACAAAGTTACTAAGGGATATGGGCCAAAGGTAGCTATATGGAGTTAAGCTACAGATCAGCCAAAATCTCATTGAATGGTGGAACAGGCTCGAGTGGCTGATTGGCCTATTCATGCTCTTATGTAAGTACAGAAAAAGTCCCTCAGCCCATCAAGTCTATAGGGTCAAAACTATGTGCAATCCACTTTCCAGAACTTGGCTCAGTGCCTTGAATGTTAATGACATTTCAAGTGCTCATCCAAGTACTTTTTTAAAGATTGAGAGGTATCCCAGCTCAACTAGGAGGAGATGCTGGAATCTGTATTGAATGCAAAAATGCTGGAGACCGCAGTGGGTCAGGCAGCATCCGTACGCAGAGAGAGAGAGAGAGACAGAGCAAACTAACATTTTGAATCTAGATGATTCTTCATTTGAGCTCTGACGAGTCACCTAGACTCGAAATGTTAACTTGCTCTCTCCCTGTGGATGCTGCCTGATCCGCTGTCATTACCAGCATTTTTTGCTTTCAGTGCTTCCCAGCTTAACTACCCATTCTAAAAGTGCATTCCAAATTCCCATCACCTGCTGGTTGAAAAAATGTTTCCTCAAGTCCCCTCTAAACCTCCAGTCTTTCATCTTAAAATTATGTCCCCTTGTTATTGACCCTTGAACTAAGGGCAACAACCGCTTTCTATTCACCCCGTCAATGCCTTTCAATCTTATAAAGTTCCATTAGATTCCCCTTCAACCTCCTCAGCTCCAAAGAAAATAACCCGAGCTTATCTGACCTCTCTTCACAGCTAAAGTGCTCCATCCCAAGCAACATCCTGGTGAATCTTACATAGAATATAGAACAGTGCAGCACAGGAACAGGCTGTTTGGCCCACAGTACTGTGCTGAACAGGTCGCCAAATTAAACTAATCCCTTCTGCCTGCCCTTAGTCCAAAGTCCCCTATTCCTTGCATAATCATGTGCTTATCCAAAAGCCCCTTAAATGCCTCTATTGTATCTGCCTCCACCACCACTCCTGGCAACATGTCCCAGACTCCTACCACTATCTGTGTAAAAATCTTGTCCCCTACACGTTTTTTGAACTTTACCCCTCTCACCTTAGATTAATATTAGACATTTCAACTCTGGGCAAAAGATTCTGACTGTCGATCTTATCTGTGCATCGCATAATTTTATAGACTTCTATCGAGTCTCCCCCTTGGCCTCTGCTGCTCAAGAGAAAACAACCTGAGTTTTTCTAGCCTCTCCTTATAGCTCATACTCTCCAATCCAGGCAGCATCCTGGTAAATACTTTCTGCAACCTCTCCAAAGCCTCCACATCCTTCCTGCAAGGTGGCGACCAGAATTGAATGCAATATTCTTAAGTGCGACCTAATCGAAGTCTGATAAAGCTGCAACATGACATCCTGACTCTTCTACTCAATGTCCCGACCAATAAAGGCAAACATGCCATGTGCCTTCTCTACCACCTTATTACTTGTGTGGCCACTTTCAGGGAGCTATTGACTTGAACCTCAAGATATCTCTGTACATCAATGCTGTTCAGTGTCCTGCCATTAACTGTATACTCTTCCTTAACATTTGATCTCCCAAAGTACAGCACCACACACTTATACAGAATAAACAGCATCTGCAATTTCTAACCATGGACCACCAGCCTAAAAAAAAACACTTATCCACCCTCTGCTTTCTATGGGTAAGCTAATTCCGAATCCATGCGGCCAAGTCATCATTGATCCCATGCACTTGATTTTCTGGAGGAGCCTACCATGAGGGACCTTATCGAAAGCCTTACTAAAATCTATATAGACAACATCCACTGCTCTGTCCTCATTGATCCTCTTTGTCACCTCCTTGAAAAATTCAGTCAAGTTAGTGAGACATGACCTACCCTGGAAAAAGCCACGCTGACTGTCCCTAATTAGGCTGTGTTTTTCCAAATGCACATAAATCCTATCACTAAGAATTTTCTCCAAAGCTTCCTAACCATGAATGTGAGACTCACTGGTCTATGGTTTCCTGAGTTATCCCTATTTCCCCTTGTGAGCAGAGGAACATTAGCTACTTGCCAGTCCTCTGGATCTCTCCAGTGTCAAGCGAGGATACAAAGATCTTGGTCAAGGCTCCAGCAATCTCCTCCCTGACCTCTCTCAAAAACCCCTGGGGTAGATACCATCCGGCCCTGGGGGCTTATCTACCTCAACATCCTTTAAGAGACCCAATACCGCATGTTCTTGATCTCAAAATGCCTTAGCATATTAGCATGCTCCACCTTAATCTCACTCTCCTCCAAGCCTTTATCCTGGGCGAATACCGACGCAAAGTACTCATTTAGGATCTCACCCATGTCCTCTACGTCAAAGCACAAGTTCCTTTCTTTATCCTTGAGTCATCCTACCTTCTCCCTAGTTATCCTCTTATTTTGCATAGAATGCCTTGGGATTCCCTTTAACCCTACTTGTCAAGGATATTTCACAGCCACTCCTTGCTCTCCTAACTCCTTGCTTGAGTACTTTCCTGCTTTCCTCATACCCCTCACTGCCCCGTCCGATTTTAGCTTAATAAAACTTACATACGTTTTTTTCCCTTTGACTGTATTCACAACCTCCATCATTATCCAAGGGTCCCTTACCTTGCCATCCTTGTCCTTCCTCCTTACTGGAGCATGCTGGTCCTGAACTCTGACCAGTTGGCCTTTAACCAAATCCTATATGTGAAATATGGACTTGCCCGATAACAGCTGCTCCCAGTTAACACTCCCTAGCTCCTGCCTAATACTGACGTAATTTGCCCTCCCCCCAATTTAGTACCTCGCGACAAGGTCCTGACTTATCCTTATTCATGGCTATCTTAAAATTTAAGGACTTGTGATCACTATTTCCAAAATGCTCAGCGACTGAAAGGTCAGTGACCCGGTCAGGCTCATTAGCCAATACAATGTCCAGTGTGGCCCCTCCTCTAGTTGGACTATCCACATACTGTTTCAAGAAACCCTTTTGGATGCACCTAACAAATTCGGCATTTCTAAACCTCTTTGCTCTAAGGGAGTCCCAGTCAATATTGAGGAAGTTAAAGTTACCCACTATGACAATCCTGTTGTTATTGCATCTTTCTATAATCTGCTTACATATTAGTTCCTCAATGTCTCAGTGGCCATTGGAGAGCCTATAATATAATCCTGTCAAAGTGACTGCATCTATTTTATTTCTGAGCTCCACCCATATTACCTCAGTGCTGAGCCCTCTCATACGTCCTCTCGGAGTGCAGATGTGCCATTCTCTCTGAATAATAATGCAACTCCTCTAACTCTCTATCTCGTCTAAAACAACGAAATCCTGGAACGTTGAATCCGACTCCTCTCTCAACCAAGTCTCTGTGTAATGGCTACAACATCATAGTCCCATGTACTGATCCAGGCTCTAAACTCATCTGTCTTACTCATAACACTCCTTGCATTGAAATAAACACACTTCAGCCCATCAGTCCCATCATGTTCATTTACCTGTCTCTGCCTGTCCCGCCTTTCAGACTTACTGGTCCTGACATCTACCTGCCCCTCAGTCCCTCAGTCCCTCCACTTGCTGACCTGCTGCTCTGGTCCCAGACCCCTGCCATTCTTCTCTGCATCCCCTCCAGTGCAATCACATCCTTCCTATATTGTGGTGACCAGAATCGCGCACAGTGCTCCAGCAATGGCCTAGCCAAATTCCGGTATAGGTCCAACATAACTTATCTGCCCTTATAATCTACACTTCAACTCATAAAGGCATGCATCCTGTAAGCCTTCTTAACTTCCCTACTAACCTGTCCAACATTAGCGAAAATTTGTAGCTCGGGTTGTGGATGTAGTTGTTGGTTAGCTTGCCAAGCCTGTTGTTCCATGGCATGCAGATGTTTCGTTACCATTCTAGGCAACGTCATCAGTGCAACATCTTATCGAAGCGTTGGTGTTCTGCTCTGTTCCGAATGATCCTCTGGTGTGATTTGTCTTGTCACTTCCGGTTTTGTTTTTTTTAGCAGCGGTCTGTATACTGGGTCTATTTCTATATGTTTGTTAATGGAGTCCCACGTTGAGAATCAGGCTTCCAGAAATTCCCTTGCATATCTGTTGTTCGCTTGTCCCAGTATGGTCACTTTGTCCCAGTTGAACTGATGGCCCTCATTAGCGTGTGTATTGAGACAAATGAATATTGGTCGTGTCTTTTTACTGCCAGCTGGTGTTTGTGTATCCTGGTCGTCAGTTACCTCTCTGTTTGTCCAATGTAATGTTTATTGCACTCGCTGCATGGGATTCACCGTTCCAATCACCACGGACCTATGGACAAACACCCGAAGATCCCTCTGAACTTCTTAGTGCCCTACTCTTCGTTGAGTACTCCCTTGTCTTGTTTCTTCTTCCAAAGTGCATCGCCTCACCTTTATCAGGGTTTAATTCCATTTGCCACTGAAATGTCCATCTGACCAATCCGTTTATGTCTTCCTTTAACCCCTAATATCTTCCTCCTCACTGTCAACCAACCAGCTGATCTTTGTGTCATCTATAAAATTACGTCATCCTCCATCACATTCTTATCCACAAACAATGAAAGACCTTTTGGTATGTCACTAGCCATTGGCTTCCAGTCACACAAAGAATCTTCTACCACCACCCTCTGCCTCCTGTCATCCTTAGCTGATCTGGCCTACATGTGATTCCAGGCTCACAGCAATGATGGTTAACTCTTAACTGCTCTTTGGATGATTATGGATGGACAGTAGATGTTGTTCTGGTCAGCAGTGCCCACCTCCCAATGAGTAAATAGAAAATAATTCTTCAATCCAGCCTTACCCGTGTTTTGAAGAGCTGATTATACACTTGCAGCAGTCTGGGTAAACTTATTCCAATCTCTTGCATGGTGAAGGTGACAAACCCAGTGTCCCAACTGAGCACACAGGATTGCTGCTCTAGGTACTGGACCAGAAACTCTAGAAAAGTAATGAGAACAACCATGCATAATCTACTTGACTCCAGTTCACACCAGACACTTTCTTTAATTCTCCAGATCCAACAGCAGTTTCTAATCTCAGCTATGGCCTGATGTATAGGACTCTATATTCATTGAATATGTGTCCATGCACGAGACTGGAGGCGGAGAGTATGAGAGTTGGAGAAGAGATGGGGTTTAGGAGACTGACAGTAGCGAAGTCCCTAGAAAGGCAGTATCTCTTTAGGAGTCAAAGGATCTTCATCTGTATTGTGACAGACAAACTGTCTCCATTTAATAACACATACATACCCAGTGGAAAATAGCGAGGAGTCCCTGCATATAGTTTTCCCAAAGAGACAAGCTTCATACTCAGGGTCTGCATCCGATCCATGCAACTCATTAACCTGCTGTCAGCCAATTCTGAAAAACAGGAACAGAAAGAATCAGAGGAAGAGAAAGAAAGACAGAAAGGAAGGAGATTTCAGCTTTCCCACAACACTCACCTTTCTCAATTATTTCTTGCCAAAGGGTTTGCACGAGGATGGTGTCTGAGTGACCTGCACAATGGATGATAGCCAGCTTACACTCCGAGAGACGGAAATGGTCAGCAAACTCTCCGTACAACTGAGAAAAGCAGAGGAGAGAATCAGCATAATGTTATCACACAGCACCGAAGAAAGTTATCTGCCTTGGTGTAAAAGAAGTCCCTTTGGTCCTATTCTTCATCCTGCCCTCTCATAGAATAAAAAGCACAGGGGACGACGATTTGGTCCACGAATCTGCAATGACTTTGAAAACTTTTATTTAATTAACTTAATTGAGTGTTATATTGAGGTAACATACAAGGTTAAGGAGGGCAAAGTGGTGGATGTGGTGATTATGGACTTCCAAAGGCCACCTGTAAATGTCCAACAAACCAGGCTTGTCAGCAAAGTTGAAGTCTGCAGTAGAAGGGATCAAGACATGGTTTCACAACTCATTCAAGCAATGTGCTGGAAATCATGCTCCACCAATCCTGGGGCTGTCACAATGTGAAAAGGTTTAATCAAACTGTTCAGAGTCTCCAATTTATCTGACCAATGAACTCAGGTTAAAAGAAAACACGAACTAGGTTTCTGTGCTTAACAGGAAAAGACTATTAAAAACATATTGTTTCAATTCAATGGCAGAAATGAAACATGATTTACTAACTTACAATTACAGCTTAAACTCTACCCCTTTTTAAAAACATTCCTAATCACATGCAGACACAAATGTTAACAGGTGGGGAAGAAACAAAAATGTCAGTGAGGCACTGTACTCTGAGGTAATCTTCTTTGCTGTCCACTGCACCTCCAATTTTGATGTCATCCATAGAATCCCTAGTGTGGAAACAGGTCCTTCGGCCCAACGAGTTCACACCGACCCTCAGAGCATCCCACCAAGACCCATGTCCCTATAACCCACCTAATCTACACATCCTTGAACACAACAGGCAATTTAGCACGGCCAGTCCACCTAACCCGCACATCTTTGGACTATGGGAGGAAACCCACGCAGACACGGGGAGAATGTGCAAACTCCACAAACAGTCGCCTAAGAGTAGAATCGAACCTGGGTCCCTGGCGCTGTGAGGCAGCAGTGCTAACCACTGAGCCACCATGCTGCCCATCTGCAAACCTACTAACCATACCTCCTACGTTCACATCCAAATCGTTTATATAAATGACGAAAAGCAGTGGACCCAGCACTGATCCTTGTGGCACAAATCTAGCAGTTCAAATCTGGGCGTCAAAGAGGTTCTGAAGGTCATCAGTAGTAGCAGAATTGTACAAAGCTCTGCTACTGTTATATTGCAACCACATAGTCCAGCATATCCCACAATCCAAAATTACCATCTCGCCTCGTTCAATGATGAGTGCAGGAGGGTATGCCAGGAGCAGCACCAGACATACCTAAAAAAGTAAGGTGTTTAATAGCTTCGCTTAAGGTGACAAGACAATTTGTGTGTCAAACTGCATAAGCAACAAGAGATAGACAGAGCTAAATGACTCCACAACAAAAAAATCTGTTCTAAAATCCCTGCTCTGAAGAGGATTTATACTAGATTCAAAACGTTAACTCTACTGAACTCTTTACAGATTCTGCCAGACTGGTTGAGTTTCTTCAGCACTTTGTTTACATTATTGCCTGGGGACATGAGCTTGAATCTTACCACAGCTCCAGATGGAATGAAAACAAACTAATAAAAGAAACTCAGAATTGAAAGTGAGGCTGGGTAACTGTCATCTAATGGATGACTCTCTGTGTAATTTCAAAGAGGTAGATCATTTCCTGACTCAAACACAGATCAAATCTGACAAACAAAAGTCATACAAGATTCTGATGGGACTTGACAGGATTGATGTGGAAAGACCATTTCCCCTTGTGGTAGAGTCTAGGACCAGTGGGCAAAATCTCAGAATAAGGAGTCACACATTCAAGTCAGAGATGAGGAAGAATTTCTTCTCTTAGAGGGTAGTGAATCTGCAGAATCCTTTACCACAGAGGTCTGTCGAGGTTGGGTCATTAAATATACTCAAGGCTGAGATAGATTTTTAATCAGGAAGGGAGTCTAAACATATGGGGAAAAGGCAGGAAAGAGGAATTGAGGATTACTGAAGAGCTAATTGAAGATTAGATGAGCTACAATCTCATTGAATGGCAGAGCAGAATCAATGGGCGGAATGGCCTACTTCTGCTCCTATGTCTACGATCTTAAGTATTGATTATCTTAAAAACCTATCTGGTCCATCACTACCCAGTAAGGAAGAAAATCTGTCATCATTACATAGTCTGGTCTCCACGTGACTCAACACTCAAGTGAGGTGGGTGACTTTTACGTTCTAAAGAAGGATCAATGGACTCAAAACGTTAACTCAGCTTTCTCTTCACAGCTGCTGCATGATTTGCTGAATATTTTCAGCAATTTCTGTTTTTGTTTCTGATTTCCAGTTCTTTGGCTTTTTTTGTACGTGACTTTCAACTGCCTTCTGAAGTGGCTTTTTTAAAAAGTTTACTCATGGGACATGGACCATCGCTGGCTGTGTCAGCATTATATTGCTTGTGCATAGTTGCCCTTGACAAGGTGGTGGCTGCAGTCCATGCGCTGTAGGTAGACCCACAATGCCCTTAGGGAGAGAATTCCAGGATTTTGAACCCTAATCACTCAGTTCAAAGGCAATAGGGATACGCAGTAAATTCTGGCCTTCCCAGTGTTACCTACGTTCCATTAAAGCAGAAAGAAATTGACAATGTGGAAAACTGTCCCAGATTCAGGCATTTGTGGTTCCTTCTTAATTGCTCTTGAGAAGGTGGTGGTGTGTCTCCTTTTTGAAGCAGTGCAATCCATCTAATTCAGGTACTCCAACAGCACCCAAGGACAGAGCCAAGACTGACAGCGATGGGGACCAGACTGATGGGGGGCAGAGCTGAGAAAGAGTATCGAACAGAACTCTGTTAAGCTAGTTTAAGATTGAGGTTACAAGGTGCAGAGCTGGATGAACACAGCAGGCCAAGCAGCATCAGAGGAGCAGGAAAGCTGATGTTTCGGGCCCAGACCCTTCTGCAGAAATGGGGGAAGGGAAGGGGGTTCTGAAATAAATAGGGAGAGAGGGGGAGGCAGATAGAAGATGGATAAAGGAGAAGATAGGTGGAGAGGAGACAGACAGGTCAAAGAGGCGGGGATGGAGCCAGTAAAGGTGAGTGTAGGTGGGGAGTTAGGGAGGTGATAGGTCAGTCCAGGGAGGATGGACAGGTCGGGGAGTGGGGGATGAGGCTAGTAGGTAGGAGATGGGGGTGGGGCTTGAGGTGGGGGGAGGGGATAGGTGGGAGGAAGGACAGGTTAGGGAGGCAGGGACAAGCTGGGCTGGTTTTGGGATGCGGTTGGGGGAGGGGAGATTTTGAAGCTTGTGAAGTCCACATCGATACCATTGGGCTGCAGGGTTCCCAAGCGAAATATGAGTTGTTATTCCTGCAACCTTCTGCAGATTCACTACCCTCTAAGAAAAGCATTCCTTAGACGACATGTCCATCCTGGGCCTCCTGCAGTGCCACAACGATGTCACCTGAAGGTTGCAGGAACAACACCTCATATTTCGCTTGGGAACCCTGCAGCCCAATGGTATCAATGTGGACTTCACAAGCTTCAAAATCTCCCCTCCCCCAACCGCAGCCCAAAACTAGCCCAGCTTGTCCCCGCCTCCCTAACCTGTCCTTCCTCCCACCTATTCCCTCCTCCCACCTCAAGCCCCACCCCCATCTCCTACCTACTAACCTCATCCCGCCCCCTTGACCTGTCCGTCCTCCCTAGACTGACCTATCCCCTCCCTAACTCCCCACCTACAACTGGCTCCATCCCCACCTCTTTGACCTGTCTGTCTCCTCTCCACCTATCTTCTCCTTTATCCATCTTCTATCCGCCTCCCCCTCTCTCCCTATTTATTTCGGAACCCCCTTCCCCTCTCCCATTTCTGAAGAAGGGTCTAGGCCCGAAACGTCAGCTTTCCTGCTCCTCTGATGCTGCTTGGCCTGCTGTGTTCATCCAGCTCTACACCTTGTTATCTCAGATTCTCCTACTATCTCTGAAACAATTAAGATTGAGGTTGTTTGAATAAACACAAGGCTAATCTGCTTACTCGAGTCCTCCTGTGATCTATGTAGTAAGAATTAACATGCTACCAGCTTACCATGACCTTCTCAAAGGGAACTAGGGATGGACAATAAATGCTGGCCCAGACAGCGAAACCCACATTCTGTGAAAGAATAAAAAAAAACTGTCCTCGACATCAATGGTGTTACTATTGTTGATTCCCTATATCAACATCCTGTGGGTTTCCATAAACCAAAATCTGAAATGCAACAGCAGGTCAGATCTGAGGAATCCTGCAGCAGGTGACTCACATCCTGCCTTCTCAAAGTCCACCATCTACAAGGCACGTGAGGAAAGTGATGAAATACTCCCCACTTGCCTGGATGGACGCCGCTCCAACACTAAAAAACCTTGACAGCATCCAGGACCAGGTGGCCCAGCTGATTGGTATCACATTCACAAACATTCTGTCACTCCACCACCACTGCTCACATCTACAAGATGCAATGCAGAAATTCACCAAGGTACCCTAGGCAGCACCTTCAAAACCCATTACCACTTCCAGCCAGAGGGACAAAGGCAGTAGATATATGGGAACACCAAATTTCCCTCTAAGCCACTCATCATCTGGACTTGGAAATATAACACCGTTCCTTCATTGTCGGTGGGTCAAAATCCTAGAATTCTCCCCCTAACAGTATTGTGGGTCTAACAACAGCTCACAAACTTCAGTGGCTCAGGAAAGCAGCTCACCATTACCTTCTCAAGGGCAACTAGGGACAAGCAATAAATGCTGGACAAACATTGCCGTTGCAGTAGGTCCACAGCTCCTAGCCCTGTGCTCATCCCTGGAACATCTGGATAACAAGGACACCTATGTCAGACTCCTAATTATTGACTTTAGCTCCGTCTTCAACACCATAATTCTAACCAAACTCATTTCCAAACTCCGAGACCTAGGACTCTGCTCTTCCCTCTGCAGGTGAATCCTCAACTTCCTGACCCACAGATTGCA